TACCACTTGATTAAAAAAAAAAAAAAAAGGTACTTAGTGTTGGGAGTCGCCCGGGCTCCAAGACAAACTTCCCCATCCCCCTCAGAAGAGCCACCCAATGGTGAGCCCTGCTGACTCACATGATCCTTACCCACCAATCAGAAAGCACCCCGTGCCAACTGTCAAACCGTTAAACCGTTAAACTGTCATAACTGTCAAACCGCCCCCGCCTCTATAAATATGCAGAGCTGTTCCTCAATAAACGGGCATTTTCTCCGACGATGAGCCTTGTTCGTTCTTTCACTTAGGATTAAACTTAACCAAGGTAGTATAAAACTTGTATGCTCACACTACAAAACAAATTAAAGAAGACAAAAATAAAGATATTTCATGGTATTGTTAAAATGTCTATGCTATTCAAAATGATTCACAGATTTTCAAATCTCTATAAAAATTCCAATGACATTTTTGCTAGAAAGACAAAAAAAAATCTTAAAATTTATAAGGACCTTTCCAAAAACCTCAAGTAGCCAAAACAATTTTGAAGAAAAACAGAACTGGAAACTTCATAATTACTAATTTTAAATGATATTGAGGAAAGAACATAGCTCTCCCACAGGCAGCCAGGAGACGGGCCTTGGAGAAAGACAGGAGGGGAGGGGGCACCATGCCAACCCGAAAGGAGACACCAGGTCTGGAGACACCCTGTGACTTGCTACCCCCTGACAACTTCAACCACAGCCACTCCATCTTAGTTACAACACCTGTTTCTGTTTCTTACCTCTTCAACCACAGCAGCCCTTCTGTAATTACATTTGCCCTTATTATCTCTAGCAACAGCTGACCACAAGTAGACCCCTAATGGAAATGCTTCCTCTCCCCTTGTGTCAAACCACAAGACTGGACCTGGCCTCTTAATTATGTAAATAAGAAATTAAAATCATGAAATACTGACTGGCTTATTTATCTTGGAGCTTGAAGAACTTGATAGTCATTCCTCACTCCACTAATCACTTGTGCTGGGTCATCAGATGTGTTTTTTTTTTTAAATTGTTCTTCTTTATAAATACATGATAATAGAGTGTATTTTGGCATATTATACATATATACATGGGTATAACTTATACTAATTAAGATTGTATTCTTGTGGTTGTACATGATGTGGAGTTATCCTGGTCATGGGTTCAAATACAACAATAGGAAAATTATGTATGATTAATTCTACTGCCCTTCCTATCCCCTCCCCACTCCCTTCCCTTCATTCCCCTTTGTCTAATCCAATGAACTTCTATTCTTCCTCTACCCATTCTCCCTTGTTGTGGGTTAGCATTCACATATTGGAGAAAACATTCACTTTAGTTTTTTGAGACTGGCTTATTTTCACTCAGCTTTATATTTTCCAGTTCCATCCATTTACCAGCAAATGCCATAATTTCATTCTTCTTTATAGGTGAGTAGTATTCTATTGTGTACACTTACCACATTTTCTTTATCCATTAATCTGCTAAAGGGCACCTAGGCTGGTTTCATAGCTTTGCTATTGTGAATTGAGCTGCTATAAACATTGATGTGGCTGTATCACTATAGTATGCTGATTTTAATTCCTTTGGGTATAAGCTGAGGAGTGGGATAACTGGGTCAAATGGTGGTTCTATTCCAAGTTTTCTAAGCAGTCTCCACAGTGCTCTCCAGAGTGGTTGTACCAATTTTCAGTCCCACCAGTAATGTATGAGTACACTTGTCTTCATGATTCTCGATTTTATTGGAGTATAGATTTTTAAAGTAGCTTCTGATATCATCTGTATTTCAGTGGTGTCCTTGTTGATGTTTCCTTTTTATCATGAATTTTAGTAATTTTTGAGTTTTCTCTCTCTTTTTCTTCATTAGATTGGCTAAGAATCTATCAATTTTATTTATTTTTTCAAAGAACCAATGTATTTGTTTTCTTATTTTTTTGTTTCAATTTCATTAATTTCAGCTCTCATTTTAATTATTTCCTGTCTTCTATTGCTTTTAGTGTTGATTTATTCTTCTTTTTCTAGAGCATTAAGATATAAAGTTAAGTTATTTATTTGGTGATTTTCTATTTGTTTTATGAATGAGTTCAATGCAATGAACTTTCCTCTTAGATCTGCCTTCCTACTGTCCCAAAGATTTTGATATTGTCTTGCTATTCTCATTTACCTGTAAATATTTTTTTGTTTCATTCCTGTTTTCTTCAGCTATCCAGTGGTAATTTAATAGTGTATTATTTAGTCTCCTGATGTTAGATAACTTCTACTTTTTTAAATTTTATCATTGATTTCTAATTTCATTCTATTATGATCTGAAAAAAATTCAAGGTATTATTTCAGTTTTTTGTATATGCTAAGAGTTGCTTTGTAGCCTAGCATATTGGTCTATTTTAGAGAATGATCCATTGCTGCTGAGAAGAAAGTGTATTCAGTTGTTTATGGATGAAATATTCCAAATATGCCTGTTAAATCTAACTTATTAATTGTATTTTTTATTTCTATTGCTCCTTTATTTAGTTTTGATTTGAAAATCTATCGATTGGTGAGAGAGGTGTGTTAAAGTCACCCAGTTTTATTGTGTTGTGATCTATTTGATTCTTGGGATTATGAAGGGTTTGTCTGATGTATATAGTTGCTCCACTGTTTGAGGCATAAATATTAATATGCCCTGTTGATGTATAGTACCCTTAAGCAGTTTGAAATGGCCTTCTTTATCCCTTCTGATTAACTTTGACTTGAAGTCTACTTTATCTGATATGCGGATAGACACCTCTGTTGTAGTTGTAAAAGATAATTCTTCTAGCCTCTTCTAGTGTGGGGGAATAGGTCTTTCTTTTTTCTTTTTTATTTGGACCCAGGATTGAACCCATGGGCACTTTACCACTTGGCCACATTCCAGCCCCCCCCCCCCTTTTTTTTTAAGCCAGGGTGCCATTAAGTTGCTTAGGGCCTCACTAAGTTGCTAAGGCTGTCTTTGAACTTGTATTCTTCCTACCTTAGCCTCCTGAGTCACTGGGATGACAGGCATGTCCCAGAGTGTGAATAGGTCTTAATGACATATCTGCTCTAACATTCCAGCTCAGTTGGTAGAGTGCTTGCTTCGAATGCACAAAGCCCTAGATTCAATCCCCAGCACCAATAAATAAATAAATAAATAAATAAATAAATAAATAAATATTCCAAGCTCTCTAAGCTTTTGAATGTTTTCTCCTTTATTCAACTAAGTCATGTCCAACATTTTAAATTCATTTACAACCTTTTGTTTCAGTCAATAAACTTTTAAAACTCTGAGCTGTTAACATTAAAGGTAGGATTTTTGTTCAGGGAGATTTTATCGATAAGTTCAGACAGATCCAGCTTCATGGTCCTTCTATAGTCACCTCAATATCTATTCCCACATGTATTTTTTGGATTTCTGACTGTGTAAATTAGAATTCAAATAGAATTTTTTGTTGTTGCTGTTTGCAGTGTAACTCCTTATGGAAATACCTTTCCCCCACTGGGACTTGAGTCTAATTATAGGTCTTAGAAGCAAAGAGATGTGTTGGAGGTAGGTCCTGAAAAGAATCAGCATCCATTCTTTCTATATGTATCAGTTTCCAAAAAATGCTTGAATATATTATGTTCACAGTCTTTCAGCTGCTTGATTTTAATAAGTGGTTATAAGAAGTATCCAGTGTCAAACTTTGCATGTCTACATTACCAGATCACATCACTGACAATTACTGCTCTCTTTATTATTGGCAATAGAGTCATTAATATCTTTTTTGTTCATTCTAGTCCATTCAGAGAACCAATCCAGAAAGAAAAGTTCTAGGGCAAATGGATGAAAGTCTATTAACAATCTCATAAAACCCTCAATCTGTACCTGTAGAAGCTGCTTCCAGTACCAAAATCTGCTTTAATCTGAGTTCTCCATGAAACAGAACCAACAGAAAAAAAAAAGAGAGAGAGAGAGGGATAAGGAGTTTTCCTAAGAAGATGGTCCATCCTTTATAAAGGCGTATTTGTGTCTTATGATTTAAGAGAATTTTTTTTTCTGTTTTCTATTACAAGCTTGTACTGTTTATTATCTGCTATTATGCTTTGGGGCAGTATTGTGAGAAAGGAATTAAAAGAACAATGTATTATCTGATTCCACACACAAAAACTGTATTTTATGGGCCGACACAACTGAGGTGTCAAATTATAGAACTTCTCAATATATAATATTAAGAAAATAAGAATGCCTATATGTTCAGGGAAAACATATTCACGTGAGTATCTGGTCAATTTGGAAAGAATCAAAGAATTATTGCTTTAATGCAGGTTGTTGTTCCAAATATATTTTTAAAAATACATTCCTAGAACAGTCATGATTTTAGGAAAATGAAAGTTTGCACAAACTTTACTACATCAATGTCCTTGTGATGGGACTTAATCTGTCTTAAAACTGAAAAGTTTACATGATTATTTTGTGTTGCAGTGAGAATAAGACAGAATATATGTAAAATTTCTGGAATGTTTAGTGCATAAACAACTTCAGTAAATAACCAGAAATTTATTTTTATCATTTTTCTGTGCATTTCTCTTTAGAGCATAAGTTGGAATTGTGATAAAACAGTCAAAAACCAAATAACAGTCTTCACTTAAACATTAGTTATATCTTATTCAGAGAGAATTTTGTAACTCACTTCCCAATATTCCCAAAGTCTCCCATGAGAGAATGTGATTTTCAAAATTCTAAGTGTATAGGAAGGGTTAATGGTTACTTCAACTCACATTATCTTATACCTGAGAAAGGGAATAAGGAGGAGAAGAAAGAATCTCAAACCGGCCTATTTTTGTTTCATATTAAGCATAAAAAATTTTGACAAGTGAGGAATTAAAACTCATCATTAGAATGCAGCCAACTATGTGTTTCATTAATGAATTTGAGGTGACATAGGGTCTAAAAGAAAGATGTTCTTTAATTTTACCCTCAACAATTTTATAAGTTTAATCTTGATATTTTTTATTTTCTCGTAGATTCTTTTTGCAATAAAAACAACACCAGGTGCCTGTCAAATTCTTGCCAAAACAATTCTGCATGCAAAGGTTTTTCACAAGACAGCAATTGCCATTGTTCAGACATAACCAATAATTTGGACAAAGACTGTGACAATATGAGAGATCCTTGTTTCTCCAGTCCCTGTCAAGGAAGTGCCACTTGTGTGAACACCCCAGGAAAAAGGAGCTTTCAGTGCCAATGTCCTCCTGGGTATAGTGGGATCACCTGTGAAATTACCACTGGTTCCTGTGGTATGAACTCCTGCCAACATGGTGGTATTTGCCACCAAGACCCTGTCGACCCTGTCTGCATCTGCCCTGCTGGATACACTGGAAGATTCTGTGAAATAGATCACAATGATTGTGCTTCCAGCCCTTGCCACAATGGGGCTGTGTGCCAGGATGGCATCAATGGCTATTCCTGCTTTTGTGTCCCAGGATATCAAGGAAGGCACTGTGACTTGGAAGTGAATGAATGTGTTTCAGATCCCTGCAAGAATGGGGCTACATGTCTCAATGAGATAGGAAGATACACTTGTATCTGTCCTCAATATTATTCTGGTAAGTGTGATTACATCTGCATCCCACATGATGTAATTATATTTTTCCCCTTAATTTTTTTCTGCTTAAAAATATAACAGAAGCAAAGGTGACATTTTATGTCCCATCCAATTGAATAAGAAAATGGTCTAATTCTTTTTTTTATTTAATTGATTTTATTTTTTAAAATATATAACAGAGGAATGCATTACAATTCTTATTACACATCTAATTCTTGACAGGAATTAATTACTAGACAGAAATCTTCCAACACCATTCAAATGTCACTAAACCCACCAAACTAAGTGTTTGTATATTGTCACTGTTACTGGTTCCAATGGAGTGTCACATTACTTAAAACTTAATTCAGCTTTTTAAAAAATACTCCATTGTGTATATAGACCACATTTTTTAAAAAAATGTATATATCTGTTGGTGGATGCTGAGTTTGTTCTCATATCTTGGTGATTGCAAATAGTGATGCAATGAATATGGGAATGCACATGTCTCTTTGACATACTGATTTTATTTCCTTTCAATATATACTTAGTAGTGGGATCACTAGATCATATGATAATTCTATTTTTTATCTTTTGAAGAGTCTACATACTTTTTCCTAAAATGATCTCAGTAATTTACAATACCCCCAACACTGTGTTGGGTTTCCTTTTATCCACATCCTCCCAACAATTGTTATCTTGCATCTTTTTTATATTAGTGAATATAACACGTCAAAGGTGGTATCTCATTGGGGGTTTGAATTTGTATTTCTATGATGATTAGTAATGTCATACATATGTTGGTTGCTTGTGTTCTGCTGTTTGCAACAACACAAGTGAATCCAGAAACATTATGTCCTGTGAAATAAGACAGACACAGAGGGACAAATATCATATAATTTCACTAATACCTGGAATCTAAAAAAATAGAACTCGTTGATGTAGGGAGTAGAATAGTGGTTATTAGAGGCTGGTGCTGGTGGCAGGGGATGGACAGGAAAAGAGAGATATTGATCAACTGGTATAAAGTTACAGCTGATAGGAGAAATAAGTTCTGTTATTCTGTTGCACAGTGACTATGGTCAATAGCAGTGCATATTTTAAATATTCTCACCACAAATAAATGATATTTAAGTTGAGAGATATGCCAATTAGCCTAATTTGATCATTCCGCAGCGCATACACATATCAAGCTGCCGCACTGTACTTCATAAATATAAATAATGATTTTTATCTAAATATAAAATAAAGTTTAAAAACATAACTTGGTTTCAATCTAGAATCAGTGGGCTTCCTGGGGCCTTACTGTCCAGGTCAGGACTGTTCCGGTTTCCCCATTGGCACATATGTCTTTCACCCCATTTCATCAATCTTCCCTGTAAGGATCAAAGTCTGACCTTGAAATCCACTTGGAAGGCAGGCTATAAGTTGGTGGGTGTCTGGTGCTAAAGTGTGATTAACAAATCCATAGTGGCAACCAGCTCTTATTTAATCTATCAGGAAAAGAAAATAATACTTTGTATTTATCTATTCTTTACAAAATTTCTGTTGATATGCTTTTATCTTATTAGTAGTACAACAAGGTAACAATTCGTTACCAGGTTCATCCTGCTCATGGTCTTCACATTTAGTCTCCATCCTCTCCATCCTTCTGAATCACACAAAATTATTCACTAAGGCCAATTCCTCCTGTTAACCATGTTTTTTGCTTTGTAGTATCTTTGGATTTCCCATCTATTTATAAGGAGGGTAATTTGCCCCATCTATGCCTCCTATATTTATCTGTTCCAACTTCTGCTCACCCATATCCTCTACTACCTTGTCTCATGTCTCTGAGACATCACTCACATTTTAGTGCTGCTTTCCCCTTACTCTGGCCATTCTTGTAGCTCTCTGTGACTTTACGCTTTCAATTTGCTGCCTTCTTTTAACTTTCATGCTTATTCTTTATTTTTCTTTTTTATAACATATGTTAAACAATATGATGATTTCCAAAATATTCTTCAAAATTTGCATCAGAACAACCTTCTCAACATCACTTTGCTAATCTTACATATGCTGGAAATGTTTCTTTTGCAAAATAGACATATCCCTAGTATTTTTTGCCATAACATTTGCTCATGCTTCACCTATAACAATTCTTCAAACTCTGCTGTTTTGAAATCAAAGATGTCTTCTAAATTGAGTCCATCCATTCTATTCCCAGGGCCTTAGCACAGGTCCTCTTCATCTCTTGAGTGTAGTACTACTCTATAGCCTACCAAATTCTCTATATCTAGCCATTATCTTCTCCAAGTTAGTTTTTAACACCATCTTTGAAATAATCCTTCTAAATTGGATCTAAGCCACACTTTCTGAAGAACCATGAGAGCTCTGTACTACATAGAGAATAGTTGCAGCTTCTCATTGAAAACATTCCACAGTGTGTCCCTGACATTACGTGAATCTCTACACACCACTCTAAAGTATTCTATTTTCTCAATTCAATTATCTTCATTTTTTCATTGAAGTAGCTCCCTTTCTCCCTGGAACATCCTTTCCCACTTTACAACATCACTCTGAAGTTCTCCTCTACTTTCAACCTTGTTCAAATATTACCCCAACTCAAGGAACATTTCTGGATTTTCTCTCAGGGGAATAGTGCTTTGACACTGCTGTGGGAGTGGTAGTCATTACTTCCACACTAGTCTGCACCTCTATTAAAGAGCTTCCCACATTTCATCCTGTTTTATTGATATCTAAATGCTCTTGTCTTCTCCTACTTAACTGTTAGTTCCTAAAGGACAAAACTACTGTCATATATTTATTCTCAAGTTAATTGATTTTTTTTAGTGTCTCATACACATGTGCCAGTTTATTAAACATACACGAAAATCTCCTTGTTTATATATGTGCTATCATGTCCATTTTCTTTCATTAGTGGTTTGGGAATTAACTTTCAGTGTTTTAAATTTTTTGATGAAAATGAGAAATAAGTTTTTTAGTGTGTGTGGTGCTGGTTTGGTATTTATTTTGTTTCTTATGGTCCCTTTTAAAATATATATATCACTATAGTTCATTAAGATAGCATCTTTTATTTCCTACGGCTATTTCAACGTTGTGAATGGTAATTAAAAGGAAAATATATGAGATCAAATTAATGTTTTAGTCATTTAACTAAGGTATTCTGAAACAGTCTTATAATTGCAAAAAAACAGCTTGAAAAATTTTTAATAAATTTTAGCATTTTAATTTAATTGGATTGTAATGAATCCTTTCTGTGGTCTAGATTTAGGCATAAAGGATTTCAAGGGTGTATTCCAAATGTGACATGCAGTAAAATTCCATCAAAAGGCACTTTATCCTACAGTAAGTGCATTTATACTATGGGTTTTATCATTTTCCTGCTGGGGCTGATAACAGTCGGTGCTCTTTTCTCACTTTAACACTTGAAGTTCACAATAAGGCTGTTTCCTTGCCAAACCCTGACATAATGATGTTTCATCCTAAATGACCATATTCTTCCCTTGTTTTCTAAGAGACCAAGTAAATTTCATTATTTCAGTGTTTTCACGTGAGATAGATAAAATTTGATTTCAAACTAGAATTTAAATGAGAAACTCATAAAGCAGTAAGAATCAGGTCTATTTTTATCTGGTTAAGTTTTTCAGGTTCAAAAATGTGATTGTAGGCTTGCTCATCAATCCCCTACACAGTAGAATAGCCTGCATTCTGGTAGCTCATCAGTGGCTCTCAGCCCTGAACACTCATTAGCAATTACCCAGGGAGATCTGAAACAGAGATGTTTAGACTCTGCCTTCGGAGAGTTAAGTTTAATTGATGATTCTCATGTACAGCTAGGGCTGGGAGACAAAAATTAAGTTCATGTGAACTTAATTTGGAAACTTTCCTTGCACTACACAATCATTTAGACACAGGAAGGTTTGTTTATTTCATCGCCATCCCATGATTACCAATATTTGTGGCAGCTCAGGCCAATTAATTGGAATCCCAGAGAAGGTCGATAGAACCAAGGGAAAAGCCAAAGTTCAGACGGAAAGAAAAAGAGCATGAGCAATCAGCATGGATGCACTTGAGTGCTCCGACTCAACCTAGACCACCCCATGAATCCTGGAAACTGTATTACAATGACCTAGCCGCTGTGAGCTCCATCCAAATTTAGAGTGATCATAAAGAACTTGGCTTACAGGAAAAAGCCTGTGTTCCTCTGAGCAGCAAAGCAAGAAAAGGTAATAAATTTTAAAAGACAGAGAGGTAGGAGGTGGGGGGAAAGAGCTGTAGCACATGGAGAGGGTTCACACTGTGTGAATTCTCCTCTCCACAACCCATTGTGCTTTGTGAGCTGTGATTCATGAACTACAGAAATGGGCTCACAGAGAGCCATGGAAGATGCTGGTGAGAATCTGCTGTGCCTAAGCAAAAACTCCAATTGGAGCTCAAAGTAAGCACCTGCAAACTTTCTTTAATGAAAAGAATATTAGCTCTGAGCACATGACTGCTCTTAGTTCAAATCTATGCAATGAATCATTCTGTAATGGAGGTCTTCCTCAAAGTTAACCAGATTGATTAACATGTATTTTTTCTCATTAAGATGTTTTGCAATATGAGAAAAACAGTACTGTGGAGGACAGGAAAGGCCAATTGATTGTATGATGAAGCAACTCTGCAGGAAAATACATTTTTCCTCCATGATAAAATACATCTTTAGTATAAAAATGTACTTTTGGAAATAAGAGAAATATCACATTGCATTCACTTTTCATGCATAAGGCAGACCCATGTTGAGCTTTCAAGTAAAAGATGAGTCTCTATTTCAGAAACTAAAATATATGAAAACATTCTTTTTATTTTTTAAAAAAAATCTATATTACTACATGGAGACTAGTTAGAAGGTTATTACAATAATTCAGGTGTAAAGTTTTAGGACCTGGCCTGGGACAGTGAACATATACATGAAAGCAAAGATTGGCATAAGAGAAGGAGCTTCACTTAGCATTTATCAAGGCAAGAATGTTTTTAGAC